ATCCCTTTTAATTATTAAGGTATCAGCTGGTTTCATTTGTATGTCCAGTGTAGCATCTTTTTCCATATCATTCTTGTAGCCTGCCATTTTTAAATCCACTTTCAAACCAGTCTTGATCTTGTCAGGTAAAACTTGTTCCTCTTCCATAAACATAGTCTATCTATAGAGGCAGACACTCTTAAAATTAACTTCTAGGTCCATTGTTCAAAAATATTCTTCAATATGGCCAATGTTAAAATATTTTGCTTCATTCCGCATTAGTAAGTCAAATTTAAGTGTTCTTCTCCTTTAATTGTAATCTTTAGTTCCTTCCTTTAGTTCCACTAGTGTCCAACTTACAAAGTCTCATCCTATCCTTTTTTTTTTTAAGGATAATTCAAAAGAAAAGCATTTTCCCATGGGAAGGATTCCTGTAATTAATTCAAATCCATCTGGACCCTTAGTCTGTTTGTAACTTTCCAAAATCAAAATTCTAAATACGCTTTTGCTCTTTATTCCAAAAGAAAAAAAAATTAAGTCCTTAAACCTGTATTTAACATTTCTTTTGCTAAGAATTGAAGGAAACTCATCTGGTGCTGTAAAACTTGTCGATCCAAAGTTTCCTAATAGCTGAAAAGCAGTTAACAAGCAATTTTCAGAAAAGATTAGAAAAGGGAGTGTGCCAACCCGCTATCCTTTCTGAAGGCGCCAAGTGCAGTTTAAGCAAAAAGATGGCTATTCCCTCATCTCCTAGAGCTCTAAACCAGCTGGAGACCACTGTCTTGCGGTCTCCTCGCAAGGAGCAACGGTATGGAGCACTTGTGGGGTGATCTCAAGTCTTCTTGTTTGGAGAGGAATTATGAAGAGCCAGTCTACTTGCCAGCTCTTCATTCTGCTGTGATAGGCTTCAGTTCACCATTTCTTCCCCCGAAGTCACTGTTAAAGGCACAAGTGACTAGACGTGTGTGTCCTGGCAAAAAGGGGTGGCAAGTTAAAATATGAAACAATCTCTATCATATACCTAAGCTTGTATGATAACCACCTACAATTAGCATGGACAAGCTGACTAGCTGTTGCAATCATACATTTCAGGAACGAAAAGTTGGTGCAACTCCCTTATGAGGGAAGTTAGGAATTTCGGGGGTTCCTTTAACATACAAAAAAGATAGGTGCAGGGGTGGGCCATGACAGATGCATATAAAATTGTGGATGGAATGAAGACGTCTATTGCTCATCTGTCCATCCCTCATTTATCTCCCTATAATCTCATCTCTCTATCACTTCTCTATCACCTACCTATATATCATCTATCACCCTTTCCTCCATGATTTATCTGTGATCTGTCTATGCTCTATTCATCTATCAACTATCTTTTTATAACTGAAAATCTATCTTTTGTCTATAATTTACCCAGAGGGGTGTTCAGGCTGTGGTCCAAAAAGTCAAGATGGCAGCCACAACAGTGGAATCAAAACTCAGCCCGTTTTTGTGTCTGTTTTTTTTTTATGTGCAACACACAGAAAAATAGGTGGAGCTTTGATTCCACCCTGGTGGCCACCTTGACCTTTTTGACCCTGCTCTGTGGACACCCCTGCACATCCTATCATGCATCTCTTATCTCTCTTTTTTCCCTTCTAACCATCCATTTAGCATCCCTATCATTTATCACCTACAGTATTTACCATCTGCCTTTCATCTATCTGTTCCTATCATTTATCTATTATCTATCCATCCGTCCATTTCTCATCCACCATGTATGTATCACTTGACCTATCTACTATGTATCTACCATCTATTTCTCTTTTATGCGTCTACCAGCTGTCTGTCGGTCCTCTCCCATCCCCCCCCCCCCCCC